TCGCCTAGACTACGCCGCTAGTCTTGTTGCTGAGTCTGCGTCTGTGTCTGTCTGTCCTCCGTCCGTCGGGGGTGAGTGTGCTCTTGGCACGGACGTCCTTGAGGACAGGCAGGAGGACCTTGAGTGCTTTGCCGCTGCTTCATCTCATCTCGTGTCCATGCTGCTTTCCCCTGAGGGAGACCCGGATGCACTAGACATCCCGACCCCGCGCTCTTACGCAGAGGCGATAGAGGGTCCCTACTCCTCTCAGTGGCAGGCAGCCATGGATGCAGAGATGGCTTCCTGGAAGTCCACAGGCACCTACGTCGACGAGGTTCCCCCACCTGGGGCGAACATCGTCACTGGCATGTGGATCTTCAGGGTGAAGCGGCCGCCGGGTTCTCCGCTTGCCTTCAAGGCGCGTTACGTTGCACGTGGCTTTAGTCAGCGACAGGGAGTTGACTTCTTTCAGACCTTCTCCCCTACCCCGAAGATGACCACTCTTCGGGTACTGCTGCACGTTGCTGCTCAGCGTGACTACGAGCTCCACTCGCTTGACTTCAGCACAGCCTTCCTACAGGGCAGCCTGCACGAGGAGATCTGGCTGCGCCGCCCACCTGGCTTCACTGGGTCGTTTCCTCCTGGTACCCAGTGGAGCCTCCGGCGGCCAGTCTACGGTCTCCGCCAGGCGCCCCGTGAGTGGCACGACACGCTCAGGACGACTCTTGCTGCTCTTGGTTTTGCTCCTTCCACTGCTGACCCTTCTCTGTTTCTACGCACTGACGCTACTCTGCCGCCGTTCTACGTTCTTGTGTACGTAGACGACCTTGTCTTTGCTACTGCTGACACGGAGGCACTCGCCCACGTGAAGTCCGAGCTGCAGAAGAGACACACGTGCACAGACTTGGGTGAGCTGACAAGCTATCTTGGCTTGCGGATCACCCGGGACAGAGCACAGCGCACCATTACCTTGACTCAGTCACACATGGTGCAGCAGGTCCTTCAGCGCTTCGGCTTCACGTACTCCTCGCCACAGTCCACTCCTCTGCCTACCGGTCACTCGCTCTCAGCTCCACCTTCGGACGAGTCCGTAGAGCCGAGTGGCCCGTGTCCAGAGCTTGTGGGCTGCCTCATGTACCTGATGACTTGCACACGACCTGACCTCGCATACCCTCTCAGCCTTCTGGCTCGCTACGTGGCTCCCGGCAGGCACCGAAAGGTGCACTGGGATGCTGCGAAGAGGGTGTTGCGATACTTGTGCAGTACATCGGGCATGGGGCTCGTGCTTGGAGGACGAGCTCGAGTTGTCCTCACTGGTCACGCTGACGCCTCCTGGGTTGACGACTTGGCTACGCAGCGGTCGTCACAGGGTTACACTTTCAGTCTTGGCTCCGGCTCTGTCTCTTGGCGGTTTACCCGCTCTTCTTCTGTTCTCAGCTCCAGTTGTGAGGCTGAGATCTACGCTGGAGCCATGGCTGCACAGGAGCTTCGCTGGCTCACCTACCTGTTGACCGACTTGGGAGAGGCGCCTCGTTCTCCTCCAGTTCTGTACGTCGACAACAAGGCCATGCTGGCCTTGTGTCAGGAGCACAGACTGGAGCACAGAACGAAGCACATTGCTCTGCGCTACTTCCTTGCTCGAGAGCTGCAGCAGCGTGGCCAGCTTCATCTTGCGTACGTGGCCTCTCAGGCCAACACTGCTGATGTTTTCACCAAGGCACTTCAGCCTTGTGATCATCAGCGTTTCTGTACTGTGTTAGGCCTTGTACCTACTGTGCCTCACTTGTTGACTTCTTGACTCTGCTTGTACTGTACTCTATATACTTATACCTTACACTTGCTAGGTTGTGTTCACTGTATTGTTTGCTTTCCTTTATATAACTCTGCATGTGAACTGGCCTTATGGCCCTTTGCTTGTGCTCAGACTGTGTGGTGACTTTGTGATCCACCCTGAGCTTGCTTTGTCTTTCTTGACTGGTCTTGTGACCCCTTGTTCTCCCCCACTTTGCCTATGGGGGTGTGTCAAACTTATATATACTATAGTCTGTTTAGGCTGTAGTGGGGTAGTCCTTAGAGGGTACAACACTTTTGTGTTTCCTACTTGTACCCTTCTGCTTTCTAGTTCAATCATTCATTCCTATGATTCTCACATACCTATGCGCTATGCAATGAGTCCCAACCAGATGTGGGACGCGCTGACGGAGACAAACAACAAGCCCGGATTGGCTGCCAATCATCACCCCCGCGCCATCGGTGCTAACTGCGACAATCCGCTGCAGATCAATCCCGATGTTGTCGAGGTGGCTCAGCAAAACCGCGAAGAGGGATCCCGTGTCGCATTTGTGTATGGTGAGTAGAGCGAGAAATTCCGTCACCACTGCTCGCTCCTTCATGAAGGTTGCAAACACCACGAGGTGTTTGCCGCGCGACCGGTCTGTGCTCTCGTCGCAGCTGATGCCGATCCACGGTGATGCATGGATGTACATAAGCTGCTGTTGTTGCTGATACGTGCACATAGCCTTCACCATCTCCGTGAAACCGTATCTGCATGGTGCGCAAAAGGGATGGTGTTAATCCTTCCGGAAGCTATACACTAAGACAGCAAGAAATTATTAAATTCCACTCACTGCGTGATATATACACCGTAGGTCTGCTGAGGAATGTCGGAAACCCCTTCATTCGCGAGGAAGTCGACGAGTCTCGGGAACATTGCGATCGGAGCGTCCTCGTCGCACACAAACTGGATGCTGCGCATAAGTCTCGTCACTCGCGCACCCTCGGGGTCAGCCCTCTCATAGTCGTCGATTTTCTTCTGCGCCGCCAGCTTGTCCAGAAGACCCTTCTGCCGATCAATGCAGTCGTGATGGTGGGAGCTCGCTTGGTGTGCCCGCATCGACGTTGGCTGCAGGTCCCGTCCGCCGCTGCCATTCCGCCCGTATCGTGCATTGTCGGGACCGTGCTCGCTGCACACACTGCACCGCAAACAAGGCAGACCATCATCACCCTTGTCAAGCAACAACCAATCAAATTGCGGCAGCCATTTGGTGATGTAATTCCTCTGTGCTTCAAGGAACTTTGCTTCCGCGCGTTCGGCTAGAGTCTGCTTCAGCGGTGACGGAGATGGCGTCACAACGGGAGGTGGCGGAGGAGCAGGTTTCACGAGAGGCGAGCCGCCGCCGTAACCAAGAGTAGACTGCGTGTACCAGCGTTTTTTTAGCGACACGGAGTTAGAAGTCTCCGGGACTTCAGAGAAGATTTCCGTCGAGGCGACGTAGTCGTGCTCGACGGTTCCGCCTCATCGCGTTCCGGACGCTGCCATCCACGGTCATCACCCTCAGCTTGAGGCTGGTGCGGTGGTGATTTTTGGGCCGCTTTGCGCACAGGGTACATCCATCCCTCACTTTCATCAGAACGCTCGAGCAAAGGACGGGGTGCAGGTTCTGAGACTTGGCCTCGTAAGAAATCAAGGCCCGTTCTTGGACCCTGGCTACAATGGGGGTCGCCATCGGCATCGTCAGCGTCATCGTCGCTCGGCGCTGCCATGGCAACGGGGTGGAGAACGTGTGGATGCTAGACAGAGTGGCAAAAAAAAAAAACAGTGGTTTTTTGAGTTGGCTGGAGGAATGGCCGAGTGTTGCGAAACTGCTTGACCCACTCTGCTGAGCTTGCTGAACCAACACGGCAAAGCAGCAGGTCGCTTCGTTGGGTGACGCGGCTTGCATCTGTGCCACCGACAGTATGAATGTGGTCAGGGATTTGACTAAGTGCAGGCAACATATCGAAACATAACAAACTGACCAATTACACAGATGACTGCTGCCAACGCATATTCTGCGGGGAAGGCCGCTTCGGTACTTGCGTGATTGACGGAAATCACGCTCGTGCAAAATTTCGGGAATGAAGGGGGGGGGTGCCCTGTACGCCCTTAAGGGTAATCTTTGTTTTCAAAAAAATTACCCCAGACCATCAGTGCAGGGCCCTAGATATCAGACTTTGGAGTCTGATTCAGAGTCCGTTCAGACTTTTTTTTGTAGCCTAGTCTGAACTCAAAGAATTTTTTTAGGGACCCTGTCTGATTTTCCAGAGTTTTTTTACCTGACTTGTCTGAAATTTCAGACTACTTTGAGTAGTGTACGCTGACCCTCAGACTTGTATCGGGGGTGCACTCTGAAACCGCTTATACAGGGGTTTGGGCCTGCCTGGCGGCGTGTAGGCTTATCCCCGTCAGTCACGGGCGGGAACCCAGAAATTTCGCCACCGAGAGGCACCGCACAGTCGCGTTGGTACAGAATTGCTGTGATCAACACCAATTCCAACCAATCGCGGCTGCGCACCAGGCAGTGTTGGCAAGATTCCTTGCCAAAACTTAGCTTGCAGCGCGGTGCACCAACGTTTGACACCACGACCACCCACCACACCTCCCCTTCATTGTTGCCAGCGCATAGCTCGCAGGGCGCTGCCACTCTCACTTCACCACATACATCCACCCCACCCCACCTTCCACGTTGCCTACGCATAGCTCGCACCGCGCTGCTACTCTCACGTGACCACATCCATCCACCCCATTCACCCCACCTTCCCACCATTCACGCCCAGGTGCCGTGCATGCAGTGACCACCTGGGGGTTGAGAGGTCCTTATGACCTCTCATCTTCCTCCTCGTCACCGTGCTTGCCAGGCTCTCTCACGTCTTTCCGTTTGCCTGGCCTGAAACTAGTGTAGGAGCCCTTGTTTCAGCCTCCCTTTTCCGAGCTCGCTACACCACTTCTCGGCAGGCTCAATGGCTGCCTCAGAAGCTGTCGATGATGGGCCCGACGAGGAGGATGATGCTGATGTTCGCCCAGCTTCGGACCCACTCACCGGTCTAGACTTCCTTAGGTCTCTCCTACCGAAACATAATCCACAGCAACCTAAACCGTCGCAACCCAGCTCTATTCGCCCATCGATTCCCGCTGCCTCTGCTGCTCTGCACGAGGCCGTCGCTGCACCACCGACAAACCTGCGGAGTGGAAGGACAAGACCATGTACGAAATCGTCACGTCGTACAGGTTCCAGTTCCTCATCAGGTTCCTCGCGGTCCTACTGGAGCAGCTCAACGTGCTCTCCTCCGTTTTCCAGAAGCGGGAGGTAAGTTCCCTACTACGTGTTTCATGTTTTGGTTGTCGTCCGCTTTGTACTAATTTTTTTTGAATGGGTTTGTTGCAGCTCGACTACGCGCAGGTGCACACGCAGATTGTGCGCACGACATCGATCTTGGAGAGCCGTTACGTCGACTGTGGTGACGACTTCGGGGGAGGGCCAACCGAGAGGCTGTACCGCTTCATCGAGAAGCACGGACCGCGTGGTTCACCAGAAATGGTGATCGAGGGAGCTTCGTCCGATGGCAGTCTCAACCGCTTCAAGGTGACGCTTCACGAGCGCACCAACCCGAACTATCGTGGGCCCGGCCACCACGACGCGTGCGTGGCGCTCTGCACCGACATGGCCGAGCATGTCGTCGAGAACCTCCAGTCCAAGCTTGGCGACCTTGAGTCTCTTTCTGGAGTGAGGCTGTTTATCCCTGACTTGTGGCAGCCGCAATGGGACCGGGACGCGCGGCAGGCACAGTGCCTGGAGTGGCTCTTGTCGCTTGTCACGTTGTTCCGCGCAGATGAAGCCGACGAGATCCTACCAGGTTAGTTTGAAGTGCCACCCGGTTCCCCCTCTCTCACGGCTTTTATACTAACCGTTGCCTCTTATACCTTGCAGGCATTGACAAGAAGAAGGCCATGAGGGAGCTTCGCACGCTGTGTCCAGTTCTTGCCAGAGCGCCGAAGAGTGAGCGTAAGTTCCACACGGGACTTACTGCCATTCTCAGGACACCCGATTGGCAGCAGGCGTACCCCAACCTCGTCGGACTCTGGGTGGCGATTGCAGTGCTGCCTCTCAGCACGGTCGAGTGTGAGCGAGGCTTTTCCCGACAGAACCTGATCAAGACGTGGCAGAGGGGCAGCATCAAGGATTGTAGGTTGAGCGATCTGCTTTGCATCTCACTGCTAGACTATGAGTTAGACGTCCCAGGCGTAGTCGAGATTTGGCGCGCTTACAAGAAGCGCCGGCCGTTCACAGCACCTGCATCAAGGCACAGGGAGGAGCCCCCAAGGGCTGGGAAGGAGCATGTAGATGAGCCAGTAGTGGAATGTGATCTTGTAGATTCTATGACAGACTAATGCAGACATGTAACAATTGCTAGTTGGTGGTGTTCTCAAACAAGAGTAAAATTCGAGTGCTAGTCTGTAACATCAGCGTTGAAAAGTTTGTGGAGTCTGAACTTTCAGACTTTAAAATTTGGTCAACTCTGACAGCCAGACTAGGAAGAGGGGTGTACTCTGAGGCCTCAGACTAGCTCAAAACGAATCTAGGGGCCTGCATCAGTGTGGCCTAAATCGTTTCACTGTCAAATCAGTGTAACACTAACTTTCAAACAAATTACCCAAACACATCAGTGTAGGCCCTAAAATTCACCCTTCTCATCAGTATAGCAGTGTGATTTACACTGATAAAATAGGCCCTGCTAACGGGGCTTCACCAACTTCGCGCGCACTGTTTCACCAAACCATGCACCGCTGGCCTAGCCGAGTCGGCCTACGCTTCGGGACTAGCCCGAACCTCGATGCCAGCCTAGCACTAGCTAGCTCGCACGCACCGCGTAACCGTTGCATGTTTTCGCACATATGTATTCGCTCATGCCTTCACTCATTCTTCGTATCTTTTGCCCACATAGTGCAATCCTCGCTATCTTCTTCCATTGCACCCGTAACACGTGCATACAATCTACATAACAATGGTCTAGAACGATGTTTAGGGAACTAAATGTTTTAGGGCATACTCTGATGGCCTAGGCCCAATCTGATTGACCTTTTTGCTATGTTAAATTATGCATGTTTAAACAATATACAGAATATACAGCTTATAATTTACAAATAAAGCAAGGTGTGGCAAGACATGAGCAAAACTGTGGAACTCTCTTTCCAGTAAAGCTGCTTTAGAGCAGCTTCTCACCTACAAAATTGGAAATCTCGCCTGTTTTGCCTTTCCGCCAGCTCCTTTTAGGCAGCGGGCGGAGAGGAGAGGAGGCAGCGGGGGAGGAGAGTGGTAGTAGGGTAAGGGGTGAGGGAGGAGGGGAGTGGGTGCAGAGTAAATACTCCCGCCTGAATAAATATGTACCGGCACTAGTAACGCTTTTTTTTTTTTGTCAAATCAAACCCTAGTTTCCCATTCATCTGCTACCGCTGCGCCGCCTCCTCCCGCATCAGCTGCTGCAGCACGGTTATCACTTCCGTGAATTCCGGCCGTTCCTTTGGCGCTTTGTCCCAGCACCGTTCCATCAGCTTCCTAATCCCGGGAGGGCAGTTTTCCGGCACGGGAGGCCGCGCTCCGTTAAGCGCCACCGCCACAGCAGCTTGTAACGGGGAATAATCCGCAAACGGTAGCTCCCCTGCGATCAGCTCCCAGAGAACGATTCCGTAACTGTACACGTCAGCCTTGTGCGTGACAGGCCATGAGCTCGTTCCGAACGCTTCTGGCGCCATCCAGCGGTACGTTCCGACCTCCTTAGTCATCTCGCCGCGCTCCGTCTTTAATCGCGCGACGCCGAAGTCGCCCACGACCGCGTGGTTGTCGCGGTCGAGGAGGATATTCGCGGATTTTAGATCGCGATGAATCATGCCGTGCTTGTGCAGAAACGCCATAGCTTTTGCTACGTCTAGAGCGATCGATAACACCTCACTCATGCTCAGCTTCCTCGCCGTTCCACACTGCTGCTGAGACGGCTGTAGCGGCTGTAGCGGTTGTCGCCGGCGGAGCATGTCGCTGAGCGTGCCGCCTTCCATGTACTTGGTCACTATGCACATGCGCCCGCGCACGTCCACGCACACGCCGAGGAACTTGAGCAGCTGGGGGCACTCCCAGCACGCCATCAGCGTCACGACTTCCCGGCGGAACTCCGCAACCATGGAGTGAACGTCTTTCCCTTCGCCTTTAAGAATCTTCACCGCGACTTCCTCGCCTTCGTATGTGCCCTTGCGCACCTCTCCCGACGCGCCCACCGCGATGAGCGGCCCGATTTCGAGCTTCATCGGGTCCATGATAAGCGCGCCGAGCTTCTTCTTCATCGCGCCGCGCTCCGATAGCAGCACGTGCAGGAGCCCGTTGCCGTCGGGTGACGAGGAGAGCGGGCTGGCGCCGCCGCCCGCCGCCGCCGCGAATCGCGACGCCGCCGACCCCGCCGCCGCCGGCACCGAGCTCGCCGCCGCTGCGACGCCGGAATGATGCGGGAACGCCCGTCGCGGGCTGATGCTACCCAGATTCCACGATCCACTTCCGTGATTGTGGTGGTGGTGATGGTGGGGGTTCAGGTGGTGGCTCAGGTGATGGCGAGGACTCATTTTCCCCACAAGGTGTGTCAGCTTCTCCCCGAGCACCTCCGGGAGCGCTTGCAGCGCGCGGGGGGCGGAGCCGGGGAGGGATCCGCGCGGGGATTGGCGCTTGCACGCAGCGGCGAAGACGTCCTCGAGCTCTCGCATGGAGAACTGCGCGATGGATGCGCGCAACATGAAGTGCCCGAGAGTAAAGCCGTTCTTAGTGTCGAATGTCGTCATGCCGTACGTGCGCATCCCCGCGCGATGGAGCGCGGACGAGAGCGCGTCCGCGCACACGTGCGAGCTGCATGCGAAGGTGATCTCCGTGCGACTGACCGAGAGCGAGTCCTCGAACGATCCCAGCGACAAGCCGTCGAGCGACGAGTCGCAATCGTCGTCGGAGTCGCAATAGCCCACCCCGCCGATGGCTGCGACAGAAACCGCGTCATGCTGCGTGCTGCCGGCGCTGCTCGAGCTGCCGTTCTTCACGTCTAGTCTGATCGCCGGTACGCCATCACGCAACGAAGCGGCTTCCTCCAGCAGCGCCATATGGCTCCTGACGGTCACCGGCGAGTAGCCGGCTGCAACATACCGCGCCGGCAGCGAGCTGACATGTCGTCTGACGTGCTCTTCGTCCGCGACTTGTTGAGCGCCGTCGCAACGGGTCGCCTTGCCCGCCGCAACCACCCTCTCTATGACAAAGTCGGCGGAGATCTGGCGCTGCGGAAATTCCGCCGGTGCCACTGCGGCGGAAGCCATGGCAGGAGAAGCCGCTGCGTCTGTCGCTGAGGCGCCAGTTTCGTTGGCTTTCTGAAAAAAGCGAGAGATGGCGGAAACCAGACGGCCAGTCTTACGCTTCGGAATGGCTGCGGTGGTTTCTGGCGGACAAGTGCACACAGCCATGCTGCCGCCGCCGCTGCTTCTGCTGCTGCTGCTGCTGCTATTGCTGCTTACGCCGCCGTCGCCGCCGCTGCTGCTGCTGCTGCTGGTGGATTGTGAGGTTTGCGAGGAGCAAGCAGCGCATGTGGATCTGTCAGCACTGCAGTCTTTAAAAGCTGCTGGGTGCAATAACATTCGGCCCATGAGATAGACTTGAAGGAGTTAAAAGCGTGACTGAAGGAGTTAGAAGCTTGACTGAAGGAGTTAGAAGCTTGACTGAAGGAGTTAGAAGCTTGACTGAGTAACTGTTAGGACCGTGGGTGACGCTGCGGTAAACTAAGCAACGCTGAGCGGTTGCGGTGCCGCTGCAGTTGCTTGTCCTAATGCAGCTGATGCAGACACTGCAGCTGAAGGGACTTTGGTTTGGTTATGCTAGAACGTACGCTACTCTTCCAATTCAGCGGATTTGGTTAGAAATAGAACCTGTCCAAAAAACAGGTGCAAGGTGATGGTGGATGGGGTTCTGCCAGCTCACCTCCTGTCCGCACCTGCCTGCTGAATCCTGACTTGGTCTGCCTCGACTTGTTGCAGCTGGGGGCTGTTGCGTTTTCTGACGCTGGTGGGTGGGCCGTGGATCACTGTAGCTGGTCAGTCAGGTGGAGGGACGCGGCGCGAACTGAACGCGAAGCGAAGTGAGGTCACCAGGGCATTTGGTTGGTTGCACGCAACCACAGACCAGGTGAGGCCCGTTTGACACGGTGACGGAGGGCAGGCGGAAATAGGTTTTATTGTGGGGGAAGTTCTTGCCCCATTGACGAGAAAGCGGGGGAGACGGGGGCTGAGCGGCGTAGTGGGGGGAAACCAAACCGAGGAGAACTTCCTCTTGCGTTTGCGCGCACGCAACGTTCCATTGTCGAGCGAGGGATTTGATGAATCATTTCTCGCACTTGGGCCAACGCATCCAGGTTTGTATGCGGCTCGATGCAAACTCGTTCTCGGTGGCTTGTTGGAAGCGCGCGACGGTGGAGTTTCCCGCCTGCGGCCCGTTTGACCCCCCTCCCTGATTTCCGTTTCGCCGCCAGTTCCCCGAAGTTGTTTGCTCTGGTATTGGGGGTGTTGCGTTGCGGTGGCTTCAGTTCAGCCATGCTGGTTCTGTTGAGGTGGGTTTGATGAGACTTCAATGGAATCATTTGACGGTGGATGAATAGTGCTGTGCGGTGAGGGGTATGCTGTGCTGTACGAGCTCCACTCACTTCATCCTGACCACAATGTCATCTAACCCGTACACAGAGTTACGGGATATGCTTCACCCTTCGGGCTGCCCTGGACGTCGGACAAGATGCCCAAAGCAGAGGCAGTATGGTCGATTTAATGCCTGGAACTACAGAAGCAGTAAAAGCC